TAAAGGCTCGCGCAGGCTGTTTTGCCTTTTTTTTTTTTGTTCTTTTTTGTTTGGTGTGTTGTCACGCTCTCTATACAAAACTCCAGCCACGTGGCGCAATCAGACTATTCACCGACTCCTCAGGGGATTGATAGGTTGGGGGGGCGGAGGGGGAGGCGGGGCTAGGGGAAGGTTAGGGTGGAGTAACGGTTGTTTTTTGTTTTTTTTCGCGCGTACCTGGGATTAGCGCTCCGCGCACCGCGCAGCGCACTTCACCTACGTGCCGCAAGTATGCCAAAAACCAAAAATATAAAAAACAAAACGAAAAAAACTATTGTGATGCAGAAAAATAAACTGAACCACATTTGCCTCAGGATCACACCGAAACTCTTTACCACACATATATCCCGTGCGTTTGGGGTCACGGCACATGCAGCACAGAGCGCATGCGCATGTGATGCGGCGCATTACCCAAAAAAAAAATAAAGGACAGGGTGGGGTGGCCAAGCATGCCCCTCACTTCTGAAAATCAAACTGCAAGAGGGAAAAAAGTTGGGGCCCTGAAAATCAAACTGCAAGAGGGAAAAAAGTTGGGGCCACCCCATACCCTAACACTGTGAGCACATGTGTGTGCGTGTGGGTGTGCATGTCCTAATTGTGTCCAGTCTCATTTCCRAAGGGCCCCTRCAAATTAGCAAGGATGCCTCGTGGAGCAGAGATAGACATTAGACTTCCAGTTTGTCTGCGTGGGCCGAGAATATATAGTCTGGATTCGAATTGAGGTCTGTGCATCACAGTTATGGGTCACTGTTTCTCTGTTGTCTCGTTTTTCTTTTCGTAGGAATACGTGCAGTGGCCCTAAGGGCCTCTACTCAGCACATGCACAAAAGACCAAACATATGGCGGCATATTATTCCACGTTCTAGCAGAAGATTCATTCTAATTCTGCATAGTGGCTCTAAGGGCCTCTACTCACCACATGCGCAAAAGACAAAACATATGGCGATATATTATTCCACGTTCTAGCAGAAGATTCATTCTAATTCTGCACATTTGGTGAGTACTGCAGCCAAACCCTGAGAATCATGTGCAGAGACAAACAGGGCCTAGCGAAGTGAGCAACCTGTAACTGCTGAAACACAGACCTGAATACGAATCCTGAGTATATAATCAGCCAGCTCATCCTCCACTTCGTATTCACTGCCTGCCTCGATTTTGGTGGAGGGTCCTTGCTAAATTGCTGCGAGGACCCTTCAGATAACCTTCATGGGCCCTAGGGGATCATTTTCTCTCTCTCTCTCTCTCTCTCTCTCTCTCTCTCTCTCTCTCTCTCTCTCTCTC